TCTGTTTCTTAAAAGTCATGAAGAAAACGACATGCAATAAATTTCATCTTTTTATGTAAGGATGAGTAGAAAATCCAATCTCATTAGTTAGCATCATACAAATAAAAAGTCCATGTGGTCCTTCCCAATCTTATAAATTCTTATGATATAAATCTTTAAAATCCAAACATAAAAAATCCTGAATATAAAAAATCTTTAAAAAAGTCCTTCCAAGTCATTATGTTCCTAAATAGTCTTTTAAAATCCACTGGACTTATTTATCCATAAATAGTCTTTTAAAATCTCAATTGAATACACCCCCCTTAATTGTTATTTGAGTTTTGTTGACTATGTCGGGTTTTTGAGATGGTTCTATAATATCATATGAATTCTTAGATTATTAGTTTGATAATTGAAGTTGTGGAATGGTTGAGTATGAGACACCTGATTGATGGGTTTTGAAAGCGAGTCTAGGGTCTTGGCTTTGAGTATTAGTATTTAAGTGGATGTTTGTCTTTAAGAGTGTTTAGTTCTTTTAATATGGAATTTGTGTGAAAGCAAGTGTTGAATTTTTATTTAAATTGTTTTAGGATCTTTATGAAATTTATGTTCAGGTGAATGATCGTTGATTTAAAGTAGTATTATTCTCATTGATTAAAGTACCATGAAATCTACTGTGGATTTATATGATCATGGAATGAATATATATATATATATATATATCTTCCATATCTTCAAAAGTCTCCAATACATAAACCAACTCCCTTAAAGTCAAGTTTTCATTTATAACTAGTTAAAAATCCTTTTTAGTCTAGTATATATATATATATATATAAGTAGATTGCTAAATTGTGAGGGGATTTTGTTTTTAAATATGCATTATTTTCAGTAATTAAACGTATATGCATGAAATATGATTTTCGAATAAAGTTTGGGAAATTCAAGTATATTTATATTAGTATTATTTAATTGTGATTGTTGTTTATCTCGAGATTGAAAGCTTGATTTTGCTTTGTCAAATGGGTTTATGTGATATGTCAAATTATTTGAGATGAGGTTTAGGATGAATTATGGTTTATTGGGTTTAAGTAAATAATGTGGATTATGTTGGAAATTATATAATTACACTATGTTAAGTACCATCCCTCAGTTATTGGATTTCTCACATGTGGTGTTGGAAATTTCCAGCGTGTGGGAAAGTATGTGATTATCGGGTCTCACACGTGGCGTTGGAATATTCCGGCATGTGAGACACTGTGATTTATTATGGATTATCACACGTGGTGTTGGAGAATTCCGGCGTGTGATAAAGTTGTCTGTGCGCGTAGGATTTAGTGTTATGGTACGCACACGTGGCGTTGGAACTTCTGACGTGTGGGCATATATGATTTTGTTGTTAGTATCACAC